ACACACACACACACACACACACACACACATATACACACACACACACACACATGCTATTTTAGGCCTTTGAATGCTTGATGGTTTGGCTTTTGTGATACAGCTGAAAAAGTTTGAGTTCCTGACGTTTCAGGCCACTAGTGAACGATTCTATTTTCAGTATAAAAATGTAGTTGATAATATCAGTTTGCATGAATTTCTGGTTTGTTTTAGGTTTTTTTGGTCCTTTTATTAACAGAGCTGAAATGAACAAATGTCTTTCTTTCATCTAAATCCTTTAAACTCCTAAAACCTTTCTTTTTAGGTTTAAATCTGGTTTTGAATCCCTGATTTTTAATGTGCTCCCAGACTTTTAAAGTGTATCTCAATAATTTCCATTTAATTGTATTTGATATTTACATACTTACTAACAAATTATTAATTAATTAATTTATTTATTTACATAAAGGGCTTTAAATGGGTTGCAAAAGAGATTCAAAATATTGGTAAAACTTACAATAAGGTTTCATTTGTTAACATTAGTTAATTATATTAGTTAACATGAGCAATGAAAAATGTTTACAGCATTTATTGATCCGAGTTCATTTTCATGCATTTTTACAATTAAAAGTTAACATTAATTAATGCACTGTGAACTAACATGAACAAACACTGAACAACTGTATTTTTATTAACTAACATTAGCAAAGAATAATTCACGCTGTAGAAGTGTATTTCTCATTTTTTCTCAAAAAATGTATTGTCCTTTAGTTCATGTTGGCTAATGCTTTAACTGATGTTAACAAATAAGACAAGAATATTTCAGCATTTTTATTTATATAACAATACATAAAGGTATACACTAAACATGAGGAACGCAAGCCTCTGTGGACATTTGTGAATAATAATGTAAACCGTTTGTTTGACTCACTCATGAACTGACGCAAACTGAAATTAATTGATTTTATCTACTTTTTTGCTGCTCAAATGCTATTTATACATCTCTTAACACACTCTCTTACTCATGAGTAGCTGAAAATATAAACATGTGAAACTAATCTAATGTCACAGTATTTAGGTGAAATTAATGGCCAATAAAAGCCTGTTAAAGGAATAGTTTAAGTAATAAAATTTGCTGAAAATGTCCTCACTCTCAGGCCATCCAAGATGCAGATTTCTTCATCAGATTTGTAGAAATGTAGCATTGCATCAGTGTCTCAGCAATGGATGCTCTGCAGTGAATGGGTGCCGTCAGAATGAGAGTCTGATAAAAACAATGTTTCTGGAGCCATGAGTGCTCTCACACACACACACACACATTTAAGGTTATGTGTGTGTAAAGCAGCTTATAATACTTGAACTAATCTATTCTGGTTTCTTCAGTTTCTCATGACCGACTCCTGAGTTCTCTCTCTCTCTCTCTTTCTTCAAGCAGCGTTTAAACAGCTCTAAACAAATATGTGCGTGTATTTTGATGTGAGAGGAGATTTTTCACTGGAGGAAGCATTATTATGGATTATGGACTCGTATTTTAGCTGAAAGCAACAGTTTAAAGTTAAAAACGTCTTAATGCTGGATTAGTTTCAGCTTTTGTCTTCTCCAGATGTTAACTGATGGACTGGAGTGCTGT